CCCTGACATGCAGGATCGACCAGATCGACCAGCCGGCCTCGTGTGGGTCAATATTTTGTCGAAGTGGGCGTAAAACATTCATAGACATAAAGGTCTTGAACATCTAGCTCTCACTGGCAAAATTGAAGGCAAACGAGGCACGACCTAAACAAATGGGTAACTAGGAAAGATCAGGGAAACGCAGATTTTTTTAAAGAGCATCCGAGCAAAGGAATGGATGGAGAACCATGATCGCCGATGTCTGCCACAGATATGGCACTGGGTGATGATGAGGCGTAAAACCCTCACGGCCATAATCCTAGAAAAAAAGCTAAAGGTCACCAAACTCAGGGAAGTCTTTTCTCCATGTACCTTCTTAAGTCTTACTGCGGAAGGTTGGAGGGCGCCACGTGTACATCTTCAATTATTTTCATTCCGTCAGTTGTTTTAGTAAGTCTGTCTTGCTTTTTCTCTTTATTAGACGTCTGTCATTATGTCGATGACCCCTTTCATCATTCAAACTAAACTATCCTCCACGTATGACTAACAGCTTCTAAAAGCCGGAAACGGAAACTTTTATTCACTTTCCTTTTTATACGGGTGCTTTCACTCTACTTTCTTATTAGGATATATTAAATAAAGCTTTCATTTAACTCTCCTTTGCTAATTTAGCAGCATATATAAGGTTCATTATTTTCTTTTCATCATTAGCATATTATAGGCTTCACTCTCCTTTTTTGTTCATGTATAAGATTAACTCTCCTTTTTTATTCGCATATATAGGCGTTATTACTCTTACCGCTTACGCATTTCAGACTTACTTTTCTTTTTTCTTTCATATTGAGATATAAACTTTACTTTCATTTTATGATTGTAAAAAAGAAAATACTCTTCTTTCTTATTACCACATTGTTAAAGGCATTACTTTCCTTTCGTATTACCATATTATTGCAGTCATATTTTTCCTTTCTTATTACTATATTATTGCTGTCATCACTTTCTTTTCTTACTTATTACCACAGTATTGCCGTCGTCAACTTTCTTTCTAATTACCATATTATTGCAGTCATCACTTTCCTTTCTTATTACCATTATTGTAGTCATCACTTTCCCTTCTTATCGGCTTTACGCTCCTTTTATTACATATTTGGACGTCATCATCAAGTGTCTATGTGTGGGGCAGAATGTGGTTCTCCATCTCTCTTATTTATCTGACGCCTTCGTGAATGAGTTGTTATTCATTGTTTCGTCTGTTGCCAAGTTATTCAGGATAATATTCATGAATCTTGCGCGTTGTCTTCCTCGACTTTTTCTTCCCTTCCATTTCTCCTGTCTCACGTAATTGTGAGGCAGCGCGGTGAAATCAGGCGCTCGTCAAAATAATGAAAGTCAAGAAACTGGCTTTTTTTCTGCCAGTTTGGCAATTTTTATCGAATTTTCTTTTTTGGCTCAACACCTTGGGTGTCCATATAAAAGAATATGTCGATGTAAATTTTACTAAAGAAACACGTGGATTAAAGCTACAAAATATGTCACTTTTCAGCTTTCAAGGGCTCTCAAGCTATTGAAATTACCAGACTTTGGCGGCCACTTTCTCGCTAATTTTACCGCCGAAACCAAGTGACCCCGCCTCCTTCAATCGCAAGCATCTTGACTTCTATTCAAGATAGATGGGTACTTTTTCATTGACAACAGGGCAAATGAATACGTTTTCAGATGATACCACATGCCCGAAAATTAACGAGCGCCTGATTCTACCGCGCTGTGACATAATTGTTCCATCCCTGTTTTCCTGTTCACATTTCCCGTGAATTTCATCTGTCTGTCGCCTCCTTATTGTCTCCATGAGAGATCTTTGCACGTTTGTCGTTTATTTTTCCAACACTTCTTGCTTTGTCTTTTTTCTTTCCAGGTTATTTTTCTTTAGTTCCCATTTATCTTTTAAAAATTGTTATTTGAATTTCGTTCTTACTTTTCTTTTCTGGTTTGAACATTTTCATCTCTTTTCCGTTCTTCATTACTTTTCTTTTTTTCCCTAGAATACTTTTGCACTTTTATTTTATTTTCTTAGAATATTTTCACTATTTTTCTTCTGTTCTTAGACCATTTTTATTACTTGGCTTTCTTATCCTGAAAGAACATTTTCATCATTTTTTTTCCTGCTAATATCTAATCTTCTGTTCTCTGTCCCGACGTTTTGTCCATGGGGAAGGCCTTTACACGAATTTCCCATTTCGGAGATGGACGTTAAACTCGGAGGTCCCACTACTTAAATAACCTAATAGTGTTGATAGAGGCGTGACACCATACACTTTTTTAAACCGTTCCCTTTCTATAAAAACATACAGAAAAACTAAACAAAACTTACAACCCCCCACCCCCACCCCACAC